CGTCGGGACTAGTTACAGTATTTTCTTGTTATGAATTTTAAAGTATGTGTAGCATACTTAGAAATATTAATAAACTTGTCTTGGTAACAGTCGACTCTTTCTTTTTCCAAATTGAAGCACTGAACAATGAGACAAAATAAACATAACATATAGTCAAAGTGTATCCTCATTTAGTTATTGTTCTTTACTCTTTTTCACTTGTTATTGTATCTGAGTACAATTTTTCTGCATTTTCTACTAGTGTATTCTATCAGATTCATTTCTTCTCGTCTTTTATCTGATTTAGTTTTCAGCTTAATGTAAATTTACTGTACTGCCTTGATCTAAAGAATTTCCGATATGTTCGATTTGGCTTGAATTTGCTTGTCTTGTCACACAAACAAAATATGAATTAGTTACATTCTTTAAGACCAGTTTATTTTAGGGGTTAACACCTTAATTAGTCTACAAAAACACAAGTCATAGCTGCACGAGAATTGTCTTCGGTTGAACAGAATTTGTCTCACGTCCTAATCAGGGGCGGCTGAAGGGGAGGCTAGTAAAGCCTTTGCTTTAGGCCCTCTAAATTTTGGGGCCCCATATTTTAAGTTAGATTTACTATCTTATTTTCGCTTAGACGATATTGAAGTTTATAGAAAAAAGAAAAAAAGTACAAAATTCTTATAAAAAGTAGAAAGAAAGACTATCTATTTTTTAACAGTAAAAATATGTTAGAACTGTGAATAAAACTACTCAAATCTTCATAATGGTAAATAACGTTTTTTACAATAATATTCAAGATAACTAATTGTAAATACGTGACTAACATCTTATTAACGTGAATTTTCTTATCAATATGGATATTAATATTATATTTTATAAGATAACTACACTACAAACAAAAAAGAAAGAAAAAAAAAAAGAAACCATTGTAATATTAATATTATATTTTGCAAGATAACTACATTATAGAAGGGGAAAAAAAAGCCACTTATTGAAATTTGGCTTTAGGCCACGAGTTTTATTGAGACGTTTTTGCTTTCTACTTTGATCCTAAACGCACAAATCGATCACATGAAGTTAGGAAGTAACATACTTCAACAAATATCAAATAAAAAACTGACCTCTTTAATGACATATTCGAAGCAATCTTTAGCTTTACGAAGTCCTCCCGCCTAATTTCAAGCAGCAATTACCACGAGTGATATATGCTTCGAGCAATTTCTCATCCAACTTAAGCTATTAAGAAAATACATGGTTAAAATGTAAAAAAGAAAATGACAAAGCCATGAAATTAAGGTATAAATCACAGCTTGTTTAAGTTGATTTTCAGCCTCCGAATTATAATTGGGGGAAGATACCTCCAATAAAAATCTTTTGAAGTAATGATAAAATGCTTTTGTTTTATTTGATTACATTTTCTCCGTCTAATTCAAAATATAAAATTATTCACACATATATAAATTGAACTTTATTTTCTCAAATATACATTAATCAAATTTCAATTTAAACATTTACCTGTTTGAATTTGATCAAGTTTATAGAGAAGTCCTTTTAGCTTTTCTCGTTGTTAACTTATCAAGTTGTTCATCCCGGTCTCTTGTGAAATTAGTATTCCGATGTTGATGGATCGATATTTGAAGTGCAAATACGTTAGAATCACTCATTTAGTAGTGAAAAAAATAGAGAAGACTTCCCAAGAAAAATATAGAGTATGTATAGATAAAGGACTAACTTTCAAAAGAATAATCTCTAACAAACACTTAATGGGAAGTAAGAAAAAGAGAAGGAAAAACTTTTGGGGCCTGATTATAATTAATGAGCATATTCTTCCATCTCTTGCTCACTAATATCAGTTTCCTCTTCAGACGACATGGACTTCTTTCAAATAACCTAAAGCCAGAAATAAATTGGATAAAAATACGTTAACATACCATTTGGTTGAAGTCTCAATGACAAAAGGATTCATAGCATAAGGCAACTAAGTAAAAATTGCACGGCCCTTATTTAACTTGTATCCACTTTTTAAAATTATTTTATTAACTTGTTTTTCTTGTAACAATGATTTTATATGGTGTTTGTAAACATATTTTGATGTAGTTTATGATATTTTACAATGGTGAGCTGTTGTGGCGTTTTATTTTTTATTATTACTTAGGGTTGCTTCTTCTTTTTTTTTAATTGCAAAATGGTTCGTTAGATTTATTATTGTTTTGACAAATTGATGATTGTGGTTTGTTTTTGATGATATTTGAAAGTTATGTTTCAAATTTGAGCTCATTTGGAGTAGATTTAGAAATTAAATCGTATATTTGATTGTTAAAATTCGAAGAACAAAATTTTGTTTCTAGCAATTTGCACTTCAGGCATATTTGGCCTTAAGTGCATGAAAACGTTAGTTGCACTTCAGACCTTTTGGCCTTAAGTACATCTGAAGTGTAATTTTTTACTTTAAACTTATCGGCCTTAAGTGTAGGAAAATGTTTGTTGCACTTTACACATTTTGGCCTTAAGTGCATCTGAAGTGCAATTTTTGACTTCACACTTATTGGTCTTAAGTATGAACACTTGAATAGATGATGGAAATACTGTATCTATTATTGAATGCCTCAATGAGTTTAAATACAAGTTACAGTGACCATCTTTCTAGAATTTTATGTAAACCAAATAACTGACGAATCCTATCTAAATCAAAGGAATAACTCTGAATACCTAACTATAATATCATCTAATCTAGAAGATAAATGCAATCTAATCTAAAGAGATAAATACTAAAAATAAACTGATAATTACTAGTAACCAGGATTGTTGATCCAATATTAAGTGCATGAAATTATTGGTTGCACTTGAGATCTATTTGGCCTTAAGTGAATCTGAAGTGTAATTTTTTCACTTTAGACTATTTGTTTTTAAACTTTAGACCCGATAAGTCTGAAGTTGATCGTAAAGTGGGTAGGCTTGCAAATTTTTTGCAAAATGGGTATAAATTAAATTGTGACCCCAAAACCGGATATAGATACAAAAGCCCGGGTAACTAAAGCAAAGGCCTTCGGCCTCAAAATTATGAAGGCCCCAGTTTTTACTAGTAATGAATTAATTTTCTTTAAACATTGGTTACTTTTGATGAAGAAATACAACATTTTTATTTTAAAAAAAAGAAAAGAAGATTTTTTTTAATGATGATTCTGACAGTACACAAGATTTTGATAAACGGTGTCAAAATTTGAAAAACTAAATGAATGAATAAATCAATATAACAAAAAGCGGTGTCATTTTTTTTATTTATACCTAATATTTTTATTTTGTATACTATCTATANAAGAATAGTCTTTAATTTTGAATCGGAAAATAGGCCTTCTGGTGCAATGGAACAGAGAGCACTATCAATTTGATTGCAGAGCAAAAAAACTGGACTATATTGAATTTTAAATTTAATCACGGCGAACAGTGGTCAGAAAATGTGAATGCTGTATGTCTTTTTTGTATCTTCCGAAAATTTTACACTACTATTGAAGTAGCTCATCCTCGATCATCATATGATGTTATGACTTTTGTTTTTCTGTTAATACCTTTGATTCGCAAACACGAGAATTGTCGTCCTTCAAATGTTAACACAACTAATTGTGCACTATTTTTGGGGTTGAGTAGATCTAAAGAAAAATCTCGTATAGTCATAACCTGCATTTTTGCACTGAAAGCAAAGGTACAGATGTTGCAGAACATAATAGAATCAAGATTGAGACATTAGGAGTGTAACATAAACAGAAAAGATACAAACATAAGAAATGCAACACTTAATGTTCTTCTACTTGTGCTCTTCTGATGTGACTTCTTCTGCTTTATGTAAATCTACTGCATTGCCTTGATTCAAAGAACACCTTCCTTTTGACCTGGGCTTGAATTTGCTTATTCTGTCACATAAACAAATACTGTGAATTAGTCACATTCTTTACAACTTCAGTTTAATTTAGGGGCTAACACCTTAATTAGTTTACAAAGACACAAGTCATAGCTGCACGAGAATTGTCCTCAATTGAACAAAAGTTGTCTAACGTTCTAATGCAAGAAGTGTTTGCTGGAGATGACGCAGACGCAACTCCTGTAGAAACTACAACCGCTATTTTGGGAGAGTAAATGTAAAGACAGATCTCGTATAGCTATGACTTGTGTTTTTGAACTGAAATCAAGGTACAAAATGCAGTAACATCATAATTGACTCTAGCAGTGTAACATAAACAGACTAAGTTATAAACATAACACATGCAACACTTAAACTTTCTACTGGTACTAGATGCCATAGAGTGATGTTAGCAAACTAGGCACCAACAACAACAACAACTCAGTATAATTCTACTAGTGGGGTCTGGGGAGGGTAGCGTGTACGCAGACCTTACCCCTTCCCACTAGTGGGGTCTGGGGAGGGTAGTGTGTACGCAGACCTTACCCCTACCCTGGGGTAGAGTGGCTGTTTTCGATAGACCCTCGGCTCCCTCCCTTCAAGAACTCTCCATCTTGTTTTTGGGGTGACTCGAACTCACAACCTCTTGGTTGGAAGTGAAGGGTGCTCACCACTAAAGCAACTCACAACACAAAATTGCTTTAACATGAGTTAGGATTTGAGACTGCATTAAGTTGCCTCACAAGGCTAGGATTTATAGGCCTCAATTTTACAATAAAATAACAAACTCAGCTTCAGTGACATATGCAGTGACATTATCATATGCGTGTACACCCAAAGTAGGGATAAGATCTGCGTACAATTTACCCTTCCTAGACTCTACCTATAAGACCACTGAGTATGTTGTTGTTGTATTAGCATATGCTGTCACAAGATCTACATATACTGTGATACTCTTTATTCATACGCTAGGAATTCTGTTTTTATCTTTATTTATTAATCTTTTGAGTCTTTAAGATGGTGCTTTACTTCTCAGCTCCAGTTCACTTGTACTTCTCATTAGGTAAAAGCAAGATTATACTATATGATTAGATTAATTGTATTTGTGTGGAAAAAGAGTGAATGGAAGATTCAGATTAGTTTTTTGTGAATTTTACATATTTGACCAACTTATAGCCTATAGGATTCAAGTGAGACCCATGTTACTTTGCGCACAGAACGGGTCATATAGCACTATAACTTTTAAGTAGTACTACTCCATTAAATAACAATGGATCATGTGCAACTTTTCTGCATTGGCTGGCTATCATTAAAACGAAATCAAAGAAGAGATTTTTTTGCTCAATTTCAAAGGAAAAAGTTACGACTTCATATCTCGGTTTTCCTTTTAAGCTTTTTGAGTGAATAGCTGAGGTCCCTTGTTTAATCTTTCACCGAAAATGCAATTAGGATTTAGGACTAACAGTGCTCCATTACTTTAAATGAAATTTAGTCGCTAGTACCTGATAGAATGTACAGTATATTTTTTATATATATCTGTATATTTTATAGACTTTTGGCTATCAAATCTAATTAATTTCGGTGACCAATTTTGTTTTTTACCCTTACTTTAAAGAATTGTTTGTGCTCCACTTCATATTTAAAGCCTAAGGACCATTTTAATCCGGGAATGATTTTGGACTTTTTCTCTATTGACATTATTGAACTGAAAAATTGAAATTCAAAATCCATCGGCTAATTCCTAAATATCAGTCATTTAAAGTGGCTATCTGGTGTCATTTCTACCTATTCCTGACTAATTGGGCCAACATTTCAAAGTCGTCCTTCCCGGGAGATTTGCAGTCGTACCATATATTTGTGTCACCTTTTAACGTGTACCCAATTTTTAAAAATTATTGATTTGGTAGCCAGCTGACAAAAAATCCGTAATAATATAACAATTACACCCCTGACAAAAGATATAAAATCTACATCACACATTAAGCCTCGAAAACGGTCTGCTTTATCCAGTCTTGAGGTACCTCAGCTTGAGGATTCTCCCATTACATCAGGAGAAGGTGTTGGACGTGTTTCCCGCTTCAAAGAAGTTGGCAATCCTGAAACTTTCTGAAAAAGAATTAAAAGGAGTAATAGTTCTTATCTACACAATTCAATGACTAGGAGAGATGATATCATTTTGAATTCTTTGTTCTATTTTTTTAAGAATACATAGTATTATCAATCACCGTAAGAATTGAAATGACCGATTTCCCAGTGATTATCAAAAAGCAAACAATTATACAGTATTTACATCAATGTTTGAGAAGTTGTGAAAATATTTGAGCAAATCAACAACTCTAGCTAATATAGCATGAAGTTATTTCGCATTGAAGCTAAAACTTCATACTAATTGTGAGCACCTAATTTTTTACCGTGCTTGAATATTTCCCGCTCCCATCTTCCCAGGCGTGTCCCCACTCCACTTTCTTTTGTCCCCCATGCTTTGTCCCCCCCATGCTTTGTCCCCACATGCTTGTCCCCCACACTTTGTCCCCACTCCACTCTCCTTTGTCCCATATGCTTGTCCCCCATTCACTTGAACTATTACGATAAACACCACCAAACTTCCAGCTAAAAGAGTCTCTCGGAACTAACCCCAAGGATCAGGTAAAATTCCATTAAAATAACCTTAAAACCACCAGAAAATAGCTGAAAAATCAGCTCCAAACCAGCTTATCCCCACATCCAAAAATGCAACAAAACAACCCCAAAATCCATTGAAACAACAACCAGAAACCCATTAGTTATAGCCGATACCTTTCAGTCCAACGACTCTATCCATAGCTTCAATGGAGTCGAGGTCCGAGTTGAGTCCGTCGAGGTTGACGACGTGATTTTTGGTCCATTCTCGATCTTTGGTATATGGTCGTATCGGTCTTCAAATTTGGTCACTGTACTCCAACTTTTTGGAGATTCTTCATTAATATTAAAGGAAATCTTCTCCATTAAGGTACCTCTCTGATCATCTCTCTATTGCTTTGGATGAATAATTTCAACACAAATTGTTTCACTATTAGATGAGGCTAAAATTCGTATTTTCTTGTTTGTTCTGAGCTTTAGTATAAATGAACGTTAAAATAGGTGTGATTATTGACCTGACTGTGAGCAGATTTGGCTTCAAAAGTTTAGTTTGAATGTTATTAATGCTTGTTGCTTCCGGTCAAGCATATTGTTTAATCCTCATTGTATCTGCAGTTTCCTAATAACTAAAGGCATGATAATTTGGTTAGTTCTATTACTAATATTAGTGCTAGGATCGGTAGCCTTCCGGTCATGTGAGTTTTGGTTTTATCTAATGTTATTAATGTGTTTGGTTGATGAAAGTTTACAATAGATCCCTATAGTATTTAATTTCTTCATTCATGTCATTCACTGTTCGCTCTTTTATGGCTTAGTTTTCTTAGATGATTGATTATTCATATATTAATTTAGTCAAATAAGTTTAATAATTTTTTTTTAATAGCTAAATCATACATCTTTTCCCGCAAATTAATATCCATAAATCATGACCTCATAACAAACTCAAAGTAGTTTTTTTAAAAAAAAAAATCATGAATGCTCGTAGAATGCTTTAGGCGTGCTTTAATCCATTATCGTGGTTATGTATACGTTCGCGTGATGTAACTATGATCCCAAAATAAATCAAGGTACGCGTCCGCGCAACTTTTAACCAAAAACAATCTTAATAATAAATGTTATCAATTGTGTATACGTACGCGTGACATGATTTTGGCACAATAAAAAATGGATTCACACACATGATTCGTTTCAAAGATAATTCCATATTTGAATAATTAAAAGTGGATAGATAAAACATGAAAACCAATAAATCATAATTTATCCAAAAATTAATTCAAGCCAAGTTGTAGTCAATAAAGTGACCGTGCTAGAACCACGGGATTCGGAGAATGCCTTATACCTTCTCCCCGGTCAACAGAATTTCTTATCCGGACTTTATTTTCGCAGACCAATAATAATAAAGTCAAACCTTCCTTTGACTAGGGATTCAAATAAAAGGTGACTTGGAACACCAAAAAATCAATTCCAAGTGGCGACTCTGAATAACAAAATAATCCCTACTCAATTTTGTCACTTTAATTGGAAAAACCCTTTAATCCATATTATCTTTTTGGGGTAGAAAAAGAGGTGTGACACTAATGTATGCTGAAGTTATTTATCCTACAGTCTACAGTTTTGTTATGAGTTTTATCCGAAATTTCAGTCTAAACATGCTGAAGTTATTTAGCTCATTTGCTAAAACTTCAGACTAAACATGCTTAAGTTATTTAATTCATTTGCTAAAACTTCAGTCTAAACATGCTGAAGTTATTTAGTTAATTTGCTAAAATTTCAGACTAAACATGCTTAAGTTATTTAGTTCATTTGCTAAAACTTCACACTAAACATGCTTAAGTTATTTAGTTCATTTGCTAAAACTTCAGACTAAACATGCATAAGTTTTTGTCTTGTAGTATGTAATTTTCTAATGAGTTTTTGCTAATGCATGCTGAAATTATTTAGTAACAAAACATGTTGAAGTTATTTAGTTCATTTGCTAAAACTTCAGACTAAACATGCTTAAGTTTTTTAGTTTATTTGCTAAAACTTCAGACTAAACATGCTTAAATTTTTAGTTCATTTGCTAAAAGTTCAAACTAAATATGCTTAAGTTTTTTTCTTGCAGTATGTAATTTTCTAAAGAGTTTTTGTTAATACATGCTGAAGTTATTTAGTTCATTTGCTAAAATTTCATACCAAAACATGCTGAAATTTTGTAACGCAATCTACATTTTTGTCCTAAATTTTATCCGAAACTTCAGTCTAAACAAGCTGAAATTTTTTAGTTTATTTACTAAAATTTCAGCCTAACATGCTTAAGTTTTTTTCCTGCAGTTTGTGTCTTTTATTAAAGAAGGGCAAAATTATCTTTTTAAAATATTTTAACAAAAAAATGGGTATGAATGCAAACGGACAAATAAAATGGGTATAAGTTAAAAAGGGGCTACTATATAGGGCGCCCCATGCAATTTTTACTCCTTCCCTACTATCGTTATATTATGAAAAATGGGCTATTATGATAGTCTAAAATCTCTATGGCATGGCATGACAACGCATAAAGAGAATTGACAATTCTTTAGCCTTCTTTTAGGTTTGGCAAAGACAACCCCAAAAAATTGGTATTATATAGCCAAATCCTAAAAAATTCTAGTTCCTTATTTATTTTATCTCCTCGTATCTCTTCTTCTCTCTCCCATATCTCTTTTCTCTTTCCCCGTAATCGTCTTAAATTTGTACTTCACCATTATAGTTTGGATCAAGTAAAACGAAAAATAATATTAGTAGACGTACGAAAAAACTCCATCAACCAGCTGATCTATCTCAAACAAATCACTCAGCAAACCCATCAACCAGCATTAGTTAGACTTTTTTCGGGGATTAGGTGACGATAATAGATAATTTTGCGGTGATGACTTTTTTCGGCGATTCTGAATCTGTCTGGTGTGAGCGTGACGAGTAAAGCAAAAACTGGATTATCTCATAGAGAAATTGAAGGAGACAGTGGTGGAAGGTTCCTATAGTGAATAGCTCATTTCCACGCCATTAACAAAAAACCCATTTCAATTTAGGAATTTTTCTTCCAAATAAATTTTATATTTTGTGCTTTAAAAGTATTTCAA